GGCTGGTTTACAGCCTAGCTTTTGATGCAGGGACGTGAAGGTTCAGTAATCTTGTTTATCAGGCCAAGCCTGTTCTCCTGACCTAATTTACTACGACCCCTAATGATCACTACTCTAAGTCTATTCGTAACGTTGATTTCCTGCCTGAAAAATCCACTAAATATGAGTCCTTCGAAGGGTAAGATAATGAAATCCACAAAGTCACAGTGTCGACAAACCAAGCATGTGAGCAGCGCCTGTGAGACTTGTAAACAACATAAAAGAAAGGTATATCGCTTGATCCTCTCAATAAGTTTTACATCTAATAGTGAGCCAGTGTGAGAAGAAGCGGCCATGTAATCAATGCAAAAGCGCGGGACGAGAATGTAAAGAGCAACTTAAGAAAGACCTCAGAGGGAAGGATGCTCGTCAAGAAGTGGCGAAGAGAGCAAAACGGATGTCTCAGTTTATGGACATATGCCAGCGTCCAAAGAGTCCAGAGTTCAAGGATCTCATGACGGTCCTCCACAATAAACCCACGTATGATGATGTTGATCGGGTTCTCAACAATACAAACAAGTCACAAAGATTGGCCGCGAGACAATATGAAATGTTCCGACATGATGACCGACAAATAATGTCGCCTGGCTACCAGCCTGACCGCTATGGGCATGATTTCCAGACAACCATTCCGCACAGGCACCCACATAAGAGTATGGGGGAGGATATTGAGCTGCGAGTGGACCGCCATGTGGAAAAAAAGAGTGATAAGCGTACTAGCATAGATGTTGGCAGGCAAAGGATCAGTATTCAGGCGCTCACACTCCCGTCCATGGCGAAAAATGTTGTCGGTCCTCCACACCTCATCTCTCCTCATTCTCATAAATACATTTGAAAGAACAATCTGCGAAGGATATCTGCATCAGAAGGATCGAAGCTTGGAATGTTGATGGCTGTCTTTATGTATGATGGTGAGGATCCGGGGAATAAAGACAACCTTTAATGGGAAGGCATTCGGTGAAATACTTTCGTATCCGTGCTATATAGCTAATTGTAGAGCTGTCATCGAATTCAAAAAAGGACTTCTCTTGTGTACATGGAGGTTGATTTGAGGATTGCGATGACGCAAACACCGGAGCGCAGTGAGCTGGTAAGAGGGTTGATTCGTGCTTTGAAGGATTTTTCATCGGGGGGGCATTGCCAAACTCGGGCATTCTGCAGACGGTTAACAATGAAGATATTTGGGAGGGCCGATGAAGACTGAGAGATCGTTCTGGCGAGCGACGTCTTTTATGTGTTCACGCCGACTTGAGAAGGCAGAATGCACGACAAATATGATGGGTCAAGACTTCTGTCTGCCCGTTGACAAAAGTAAATATAACGTGCACCGCTGTCGAGGGTCACGAGCGCCACCTCAGCATTTCCCTGCGCCCAAGACGAACTTTAAAGCCTGACTGATGGGACAGTTGTGACGTATTCAACAGTATCCAGGAGGTTCTGGCATCCCATTATACGGAACTTATGTTTCTTCCAGGCCAGTCGGCGAAGAGATAAAGACACCTTTTGTGAGCTGATGTCTGTCTCTTTATGCTAGTGCCTCTTTCAATTGAGAAGACCAAAGTTCACGATACATCCCATCTTGTGCCATTAACTCTGAGTCCCCGTGGAAGGAAAAAGAACGACAACCACACCGGCCAAGACATTGGTCAGAAAAGACTCAGCATTTCGACGTCGACGAATGGCTCCGTAGAGATGTGAATCCAACCTATTTCTTTATCTTCAAAAGTTTTCGGTGTAGTCGTCTCATGTCTCCACTTAGCACAATGTGCGACTCCTCTAGTTCTTCGCAGTTAAAGGCGATCTCTATTTCGTGATCCCCACCAAGGATACAAAGCCACCTACGTTTATGTGTCGAAACCCATCCGCGGAGGACACCAGTATAATGGTTGTTGTTGAGGCGCAAACCAATCAATGCTCCGATGGAAACCAGTGGCAACATAGCAAAGTATTCTCTCATCTCACCCTTGTTACGCCGGTCAATGGCAAAGTATAAGAGCCTTTTCTTTAACTCGGCCAATGCGTCGACGTACTCCTTCGGAATGCGTGTACTATCCATGCCACTAAGACGGTACAGCACGAGGACCGCCTCCTCAAGAGATATCACGGGCATTCCAAGCATTCCAAGCTGTCGAGGATAATAAACAGCATTCGTCTGTGATTGAAAGTGTGCAAGCCATTGCTTATCACAAATCTCAATCACCGGCAGCTTCGAAGATGGAAGGGAAGTGATGGTCAACGGAAGTTGGTTCGGGAGTTGGTCCAAAAGCTTGAATATAATGTCGTCTTGGGTTTCTATCCACTGCCCAGGAGTTGGGTCGTCCATTGCAGCAAATGTCGTCACTTAATTAGACCTTGTGCTGTACTCCCCCAGAATCTGTTCGCGGCTGGGGCTGGGGCTGGGCCTAACAAACGACACGTTGCCAATTGGGTCTTTATTGAGCCGCAGTAACTTGAAGATCCCGGACGCTCCTAGTAAGCTATTGCTAGCTAAGAGTTGAATCTTTATAAGTGAGCAAGGGAGTGGTGTCTTGAAGATCTGACTGACCGTGCGGCACAATGTCTCCTGTTGATTGAATCTCTGTTGTAGCCCAAAGACGATAAAAGCTAAGACGGTCAAAAAGATCGACCGACTTAAATCATAGGACAACATGAGGCGAACGTAACGTCGTTCTCGTCTTGTAATTGACAATAATATCCCGGCCCAACCACTCCGAAAAAGACAACAAAGAGAGATGGAAAGGGTGAAGAGCAGTGGGCTAATAAATGTAGCCTGTCTGTGTGGGCGGTTTGTTAGTGCCATTCGAGTAAGTCATCGAAGAGGAACCCTCACAACACTAATGACAAGACCAACGAGGATGTGAGCAGGCTGAAAGCGATGAAGGATAAAAAAATTGTCACGCCTCGGACTGTTGTCCAGTCGTACGTGATACAGAAACTTGAATGGTCACACTCCAGGTAAGCGTATGCCTCAGCAGCCTGTATAATCTGTCAGACTGTTGTCCAACGGTGGAGGGAAATGCACTCACATCCAGAAAATAAAGGGAAAAAAGACACACGCGCGTAACAATGTGAACAGCGTGGGGCGGAGCCTGAGGGATGATGATGGTGAGGGCAATGCCAACAAGTGTTTGGCAAGAGGCATTCAAAAAACAAAGGATAGGGGCGGCGCGCTTCAGCTGCAACTTGGTGCAAGCTGCCACGAGAAACGGCATGGTGACAAATACGTTGACCACGCTGCAAAGCCACGCGGGATCTTTCGTCGGAGCTGTCATGGTGGTTGAGCTGTGGGTGAGCAACAGAACGAATGAACAGGGCAGAGAAAACAAGGCAACCAGGCAACGGGTGGACATGCAGGAGAAGGGACCTTTATCTAAATGGACGTTTAGAGAAGTTCAAGTGCTTGCCCTGGATCAGTCTCGCTGCTCGGCCTCAACAATCTCAAGTTCACTACTCGTCTCAGTTAAAGACACAAAGCATGCATGTATACATTATTCATCCTCCTAAAAACCCCGGGAAGAAGGCCATTTCACCAATATTCTCGAGACATGCGACTACGTCTTCGGCGTGCCACCTCAAACTTTGAGTGAGGTTATCATGGTAGACTAAGGATTAGGGAGGGTCTGATTGACCACACTACTAATGTCGAATTCGTAGGCAGCGTGTGGCAGGCGAGACTAAAGAGCATAGGGGGGCCAGCCGGCCGCCAAGCTTAAATCTGGCCATATTTGGGGAATATGGCCAGATTTAAACGAGGGCCTGAGGTTGGTGACTTCCAGCGCTCTCATGTACCACTTCTTCTTCAGTCAGGATAACACTTTTGACAATGGACATAAGCGATGCGTGTGATCGAATTAAGAATGCATCTCTTGAAGATTGGACTGCATACAGATCTTGCCTGACTGAGACGTGTGAATACCTGGCCTCGTGCCTCCAAAAGTCCTTAGTGAACAAACGGAGCAACATTACTACCGCACCACAGGATGGTAGGGTCCCTGGAAATCACAGCGAAATCATCCGAACATCATCAGGGATCACAGACTCAACTGCCGCGAGCAGCGTGCCATCGGGCTTTATCACATCCAGCGAGCACCCTGCCCCTGCTAAACCTGCCAAACAAAAGCCCACTACTGCACCGAAGGTGAGCTCGTCAATATCACGGAAGCACAGGATCCGGGATAATATCTTGCGCAACGCTCGCAACCGTGAAAAAGCACTTGGAGAAAGCAACATCTTTGAGATCCTTTCGAAGCGATTTCAGGAATTTCGACCTGCACGCGCCGGCTTTGACATAGCATCACCAGGGCGGCATAGCCCACAGAGAATAGCTTTCTACCTCGACGGTTATCTGGGAGCTATGTACATCGCGGAGAGATATCACACATATCGGAAAACGGAGTCGTCCCGTCAGGGCAAACGTCGCGGAAAACCCAAGCATATGTACAAGGAATTTGCAGAATCTGTGGGTATTAAGGATCCTAAACTCACCCAGCTGATAGAACTGGGAAACATATGCCTGCAGTTGCGTCAGGAAGATGCTGCACTTCTACTTTTTCCAAATCTGCCCGGCACGATGCGTCGACTGAGCAAGAACGACATCTCAGAGCTTGCGCAGTTAGTCCGCAATGACGAACGGATCAACAGGGTGATCAAGAAATGGAATGACTCTGTCAACGAAGCATATATTTTATACTCCAAGGTCGCCCGAGATGTCTGGTCTCGTGACGTGGCTAGGGCGCTTCAGATCCAGAAAATTATGGAATCGAACCAGGCAGCGGAGACTACTTCGAGGAGGAACACCAGGAACAGAGCTAAGAATTCTCGAGAAGAGCCGGCGCACAACGACAACGCTCTTTCTCACGATACACCACTCTCAGATCAGCTGGCTTTGAGCCCGCGTCTTGCTTCTCCATCGTATTTGCCCCCTCACCAGCACAATACGGTCGATCGGGCTGAAGGCCAGAACAGAGTCTCAGAATGCAATACTCACACTGAAATGAACATATTACTCAAGACTGCTCGCCGTCAGGAGAATTCATTGGAGTTTGAAGGGGAGAAGCGTTCAGTCACGACAATGGAAGCCAACCCTGAACGCTCATGCAAGCGTCGTCGTGTGGATGACGAGGTGCCCGTGGAGGTTGTCGAAGCACTCGGAACGCTTGCGCCCATTACACCCATTACGTTCTCTGACGGTGAGGAACGATATTTGGGAGATCTTGCTGGCAATCGAGATGAACTTGGGCCGACTGAGCAGGAGCTCATGGCGGATGAATCTTGCCGCGGAAACAACGTCCCTGCGAACCCCATAGCCTTTGCAAATGAATGTGGAAGCTCAGGCATGTCTTTGACTGAAAATTCCAATACAAGATCTTCCAACGTTCCCCCTGGTCGAGTTGCAATCAATATAACGGAGGAATCTGTCGACAAAACTACTCTACCTGAGCGACCGAATGGCATACCTTCTCGAGTGGATGAGGAAGCACATCGAAATAAAAATCCACTTCCAACAGAGTCGGTTGAGCCTTTCAATATTCATGGTCCAGAGGCCGAGGCCGGGGAACAGATAGCCGGTCTGTCAGTCCTCATCTTCCAATATTAACCACTAACGTGAGACAGAAACATCACGGACCTCCTCAAATGAAACAACCATCAATAGACGCGATTCTGAGCCTGGAGAGGGGTCATGTAAACGGTGTCATGTGGATAATGCCTACGTGGACACCCCCACTGAAGGTGAAGATTTCGTCCTTAAAATACTTCCTGACTCCCTAATTCCGGGTAATGGCGCCCCAGATCAGTCTACGGATTTCGGCCGTTGGCTAGATTACCTTGAGAAAACCAACATTACAGATATGCACCTTGGTAACGACGAGTTTTGGCCGCAAGAGTCTGAACACGATATTCAAGATTTAAACATTGGTGACTGGCTCGATCTGGGGGATGGTTTTCCAAATCCGCGTCAGTAGGTACTATGATTGAATTTTTTTCAACCACATCATCATCAAGCAGATCAAGATATCACAGCAGCCTCAGTCAGTTCTTTTCCGCATTTACTATACTCCTCCCCCTTACGCTTAATCGTGTAGGGTATGACTCTTGCCGCGATCCCTCCAGCCCTGACTGAAAGACCTTCCTTCCCTCCCTCGAGAGCGAGAATCTCACCCACCTCACAGTTGAAAGGGCCAAGACTGGGAGGAAGGTCATGCGACTTCAAAATTGCAACTTGCCGTTCCTCGTTAAGCTTGTTGGTGAGGGCTTGGTCAGTTGTTTTCCTGGATGCGGTTGGTGCAGGAGTTTTTACACCTTTACTGGTTGTCTGGTCGACGTCGTGATGATGTGCTACCTGAGGATCGCGAACGATTATCATCACGAGGACTTGATTCGGGAGAATGTAGAATGATTTCGTGGCATAAGCCCAGCTCTCTGGGCCTTCTTTCCGAGAAAGTGATAGTCCCTTTTTTCCATAATAAGCGAGGATAATGGGATGCTAATAGCTGTTAGCGGTGGTAAAGAGTTTGCGGACAGGAATTGAGCCTACATAGACTTTATTGTATTGCTCCATCAGACTCTGGGCGTGCTTATTAGGTTCTTGTGCGCTTTCGAGATGTCGCCAGAACCCTTCTGTTGCCGGCTCTGGGATGAACTCTTCCGCGGGCAGAGTGACAAGGACCGCGACATCGCGAAACTCTTTCTTGGTAGGAATGGTGAGCATATTTGCTCTGCATGGGCTTCAAAAAGAGAACCTGATGCAACAATGCCCTCGAGGCTTGCTATGTATACTTTTCAGCAATGAGTTATTTGCAAGCGGGCTTCTGATGCGACATCAATAATTATACAGGCCATGTGGAACACTGATATGATGAACAGAAACTGACACATCATCATGCATGGCGAAAGTGCCCAAGGATCATCACGCTCCCAATCACGAGATTGTGTGAATGCGGCGACAAAAAATGTATGTCATTAACCTATCTGGGACATAATATCTCGCTGTTGTAGTGACGTAAGCACCAACGGCAGCATTTCTTTGTCCTTGCTGCGTATATTGAACCCATGTGGAGAGAATTAGCTATGTATCAGCTCAGTCACCGCACCACGACGTATCTGTTGAGCACCCATATTTAGCGGACCATCCCACACCAACTGACAGTCACCTCTCACCACAAGATGGATTCGGGTTCAGGATCCGCGCTCTGGAGCCGGTTCCCTAACGGTGTCTCCGTTGTTCGCAACTGGACCGTTGGATTGATCCGAATTATCATCCTCGGTAAATCTTAAGTACTGGATATCTTGTGTCTTGGGGGGAGACGCATCTTGAGGTGAATTTGGGGGAACTCCATTGCTCCTGGCTGCGTCGTGTTGTGTCGTCTCTGAACTGGAAGATCCGTTGTGATGTTCGGGCGACTTCTCTGGCATGATAACTTAGGGAAACAAGATAAGAAGTGAGAGGGCTGTGGATTGCAGAAGTCTTGAGTCAGGACTTTGGAATGGTTGCTTGAAGGAAGAACACTTGGAACACTCGGAGCACTTGGTGAAGTTTTTACCTCATCTCAGCGGAGGGACGCGCTCTTATACCTGGAGACGGGCATCGGAGTGTACAGAGAACCCTCCTTGTTGGTGCTCATCGATCCATGATACGCGGGCAACTCGGCTTCAGGGGTTCTGACCAACAACTCATATGATCCGCTGGAACCGTTGTCCGCATTCGCTAACTAAGCTCAGCTTCACACTCGAGGTTTCGGCTACTTTGCGCGTCGATCAAGATCGAAGGTATCTCAGAACGACCAGCGCAGACCCTTGTCGAAGACTATCGATGCAATGCCATCGCATCCTGGCTTCATGTTGCAGATTTATGTCAAGAAGAGAGAGGTAGCAGGCCATTATGCGACCTATGTTGACGGGTCGCAGTGTCCTTGGAAGCGCAGACTGAGACATGACCGTCTCGATAATGCATTGAGGGTGTTTGCTAGCCTCTGTTGTAGTGCAAAGTATTTTAAAGGTATACACATGTTGCCCTATACAAGTACGTATTCGGAACTAATGCAGCCAACGACGGGCATTCTTGTAAAGACCGAACACACGCCAGGGAAATGTGCAGATATTGGATTCGCGATAACGGGCAGCGTGATACAGAGGTTTTGAAAGGTCGCCAGAGACACGACAAACCGCTCTCAGAAGGTCCATCAGCGTGGACAGTAGCATGAACCCAACTGTCCATGAACCCAACTGTCCATGAACCCAACTGTCCGTGAACCCAACTATCTGTGAACCCAACTATCCGTGAACCCAACTCTTCGTGACAACTGGCATCTTGACAGGAGCCTAATTTTACCTAGAGTGACGCGAGACTATGTCATTTTAGCAGTTTATTGAATCCACACGTGACATTTCTATAATTTGCCTCTCCTGATGTCATGTGACATTTTTTAGCGCTATCATTGACGCCTAACGTAGACAATGGCCACATGTAACGACACGCTGGCAAACATTGCACATCATTCAAGGGATAGGGCTTGAGTCTCGACCGACGATTGCTTGAATTGAAGACCTGTTTTCCCTTCCTAGTGGGATCATACTTGGTGAGTGAATTAAAATCCGAGCTGACGCCCTTTTGAATCAGCTGCAATGCAAAGCAATTTGGCTGCAGAGAACAGAATTGAATTCTAATCAGTGATACATACAATCTAGCACTACTACAATCGTCCTCTTACCACGACATCTCCTCACTTCCTCCTAATCGTTCATCAGCATCTATTCCTTTTCACTCACAAAATCGTTGTTGGGCAACAGATCGCACAAGGAGATCCATACCACATCCTACAATCAGAATAAGAGGGGGATCTTTCTTACACATTCTGAGACACTGAATTAAACTTATGTTTATTGGTTGTGATGCCAATTTCGGCAACTGAACTGGTATTCTAGTCTTCATGGACCGTTACCAAAGTCAATGCTGACTGGCTTGACAGACACGCCGCTGGACTAGCCTTTCTGCGGACGATACAGCCTTAACTCGAGTCGTGAGATATGTTTCAATTGATTACGTCAAGCCGAAGGGGGTCGAGACAGAGTTGTTATGCAAAGAATGCAAGGAGGTTATTTTCTTTGATGGGGATAAGGAGATATGGACAGTTACAGGTAGCGGAAAGATGAAGCTTCCTGCAAATATCTCGGCTACAGTGTATCAAGGGAAATACCTGCAGCTATGAATGAAGAATATTAGCAAGAGTAGCGTCATCATATAAACGAATTTCAACATGATATATCATCTTCACTTTCACACAGTTTGTTGTGTCCACATATCCCTTCCTTTTCTCCCAATTCCGGAGGTCACACCTATCAATAGAAGTGGCAATAGTATCACCGAACGGTTCGGGAATATTGTCGACCGGAGTATCTCGGTCCAGGAATGCGTCAAGTGATGCGGCAATAGGGCCTCTGTCCGATTCGACATCGAAGGAGATAAAGGCATCGCCACGTGTCCCTCGAGGATATCTTGACTCGACTGTCATCAAGTGAGCATTATTCGCAACATGTTCGGTGAACACATTCTTGAAGCTCTCTCGACGAACTCCTAGCAGTTTCAAGGCGTTAGGTTCTTTAGCTGCAGTCTTTGGTTCGGGTTCTAATCAGTAGATAGTAAGTAGTTATAAGTAGTTATCATGGTTTTAACTTTACCATTGTCCCTGGCCATCTCAGATTCGCTTATATTCCTCATTTGGAGCACCGTCCTGTAGATAGCATCAAATCTGCTTCCCTCGCATGCTGACAAAATGAATTTTATTCTCGTAAAGATCTCAGAGCGATGGAGGCATTGAATCTGCTGCTTTTCGACATACTTCCTGATATCGGATGCCTTAAATGAGTCGAGTAGTGTTTTAAGCCGCCTGTCTTCAAAACTAATTAACGAGAATGCCAGCTCATTTAAGTTTAGTTTTGAGACTTCTGAATAGAAGTTATTGGGAGTGTCCGATCTATTGACGTGTTGTACAAAAACACCACACTTTGCAAGGGTATTAGCGTCCAGAGATTTCGTCTTCGAAAGCCTGTCCTTTGCGTGCTCAAGCGCCTCGACCATCTTAATTTGGTAGCCCAAAGCCTTCTGCACATCACGTAAACTCTCAGGGTGAACAAAGAGATCGTTTATGGAAGCCATTGCAACCATTGATAGCTGGACTTGAAGGTAGTTTGGGTCGGAGGACAGTTGGGTCGAAGGACAGTTGGGTCGAAGGACAGTTGGGTCG